TTGCTTTAAGGTGGCTTCATTCAACCTTAAGGATACAACAGCTTTCCTAAGAGTTAATTTTTAGCTTACTTTCCTCTTGCTGTCATTCTTTTCCAGTAATTTAACTCAGAATTCTAAGGTTGCTCTTATTCTTACTATAAAAGATTACTACTAGAGGTAAAGATTCCTTTATTGATGACCATCTGTACTTCCAGTACCACTTGGTTATTTTTACCCAGAGAGAGTTCGTTTGATTAATGCAGACTTGTCACAAACACTTTTTATGAAGTCCTACCTTTTCCAAATTGTTATATTAGAAAACAAACCCACACACCAAACAGAAAAGCCTTATAAGCTATGATGTTCAAGGATGAAGGCCCTCGTAGAGTGAGCAAAGCAACAACTTTAGTAAATGATGTCTTACAGCAGTGTATTTGTTAGAAAACAACTCCTAAAAAGAACTTCCCACCTGCTAGGACCAGGTTGGAAAGAAACATGAATCTCTCATAGCCTCGGAAACCTTCATGCAAGACAACGGAAGATAGTATGCATTTAGGAGAAGTTTTATGTGTTAAGCAAGTAAAATGATACCTCTCTATTCCCATGTTCCAGGTTAATGTTCCTGGCATATTTCTGATTGTTGTCTGCAAGACGACAACATCTTCTTTCCTAAGAGGGAGACACACACAGACCCTAGCCACACATGCTACCCATGGAAGAAAGTACATGGTAGTGGAAAAAAATGAATTTTTAAACACTTGCTAGTATTGCATCCAGATTTTACAGCCAATCCCTAAGAGCTGCTAACCAACCAGTTCACAGTTTACAAGATCTTCTATTAGAGTCAGCTTTAATGGCAATAAGAATGATTGCACACATGGAAGCACAGGAGAACAGCATGCCCCTTTCTAAGAAGTTATGTGCCAGCACAATTGCTTTTGTTGTGCTCTTCATTGCCCTTAGCCAGATCTATACTAGCATTTGCTCATTTGTGAGCATAGACTCTGAAACCATCCTGTTGTTCTTTTAGGCCTCTGCTATCCTGGACTCTTAAGGGCCTTCACTACAATCATCTGACAGTTTACTGCTATGAAAATTCTGAAGTACTGATGGTTCTTGCAGCGCAATAGCAGCGTTTAAAATATAGCCATGTATATAGTAATTTCTTAACTACTTATTAATATCCATACAATTTTAGTGTTAGTATATATTAGAACTTATTTTTCCAGGCAGTAACGGCAGTATGGCACTTTTCTAGATTAACACTTACCTGTAGAGCTAAATTCAAAGCACACCAATTTATCACAGTAGACTAGCTTGGACTTCTAACATTCAAGTCTTCTACAGGAACTTCTTACCATTTAGTCAGTTGTTACGGCCTTGTCGTAGGAGTGAGGCAATAACAAGAACAAAACAAGCAGTCGGTTGTTTCCTCCCTTCTGTCCTCAGTGAAATTTGTATCATCTTTAAATATCAAATAAGTTATAGACAGGAAAAAGGATGTAGCTGGCATTAGGCTTTCTTCCTTCTTTACTGTATGGGACAAAAAAAGGTAATCTGCTGGTCCACTACAGAAATAAATAAATAAATAACATTTTTGCACCTACACACAGGAGGCTGCAAAGTAAGTGAAGGAACTCAAAGATCTATGACCCAATATTCCCAACATTCAGTTCCTATAATTAAGTTGACAGTTTGTTTCCTGACAGATATCCAATGTGTGACTAGTGAAGCCAGTAGTGATCTTGTGTAGGGGTAAACTACTACAACCGAAGTAAAAGCACAGTTAATCAATACCTGCATCATCCAATAGCTCAAACAAAATTTTTGGTAGAACAAACAGGAATGTTTAAAAAAAATCTGTTCTGGGGAAAACAGAACACTTAGAGACCCTAGCGAGAATCTTCTGTTAGTCCAGTTCATGATTTAACTGTATAAGAAATTGAATGATCTAATACAAAAAAAAAAAAAAAAAAGTTAATAAAAACAGACAACTTGAAACAGCAACAACCACCATACATACGCATAACAGTATTCCCTGTGAGGGACCAAAAACTCAAAACCAATATAAGGAAGTCTGGCCTGTTTGCTTCATTTCTTTATGACAACAACTTATAAAATGTTTCAGTAGAAATTTTGACTTTTGTAGAAAGCTTTGTCAGCCTGAATTTTGAAGTGAATGTTATCTTTGCTCCAACAACCAGGAACATTAGCGGATTTGAAAAAGAGGTTCCTTTATATAATTTCATATTCCCTTGAGTTGAGGTCTTGAAGGGAAAAGAAACATATAGAAGCATAGAAGCCTGGAGCTACCCAAGCTTTGTCACGTAATCCTTATAACTTTAGACAAATAAATCCTTATAACTTTAGACAAACAATCAAGCATGCCTGGTCTTTCTTCCACATTTGCAAACTGTGAAGTTATTTCCTTTAATCGGATCTTTCTCAGAGAGGCACTAGCCAACTTGTTGATCAAGTCATAAGACAAGAACAGGAGGATATGGCCCCAGGCCTACCTCTGCTCACAGAAGTGCATTCACCAACCTTCTTGCACCCAAGATAGGCCTTGCTCCATTTTACACTTCAGACTCCTAGGTCTGACCCAGCACACACTTGTCCCCTCCTCTTGGGTAGGCCACAAACTGCAATTTCAGAGGGCTGGTCAAGAACCACTTGGCATCAACAGATCTCCCTCCAGCTCTGCCTCTTGCTCACTCAATTTTATTACATTTGCTACACTTGCTTTTTCACTGGCCTGCTACAGTTTCTTATTACATCTTCTCTACCACATAACATTTCCTCCACCTCCTCTGAGGGGAAATCTGTGGAATCTATACATAGATAGAAAGAAATACAATTATTTATTTTTAAAATCTAAGAGATTCTCAGCCTAATACTACGTAAAGCACTTATGTAAATATGACAAGAGATGCATTTATCTAAAGCGAATAAAGATTATAACAATTTTAGATGGCAATTAAATTATTTAACTTTTTTCAAACTTTTCAGCCATCAAAATTAATACATAATTTGGCTTTAATAGTTTAGTGTACTATCAATACCCAGGGTTTTACCACACCTGAGCAGTACCTCCTCCGTCTCTCCAGAAGATAGCTCTTCCACAAAAAGCTCAACCAGCTAGGGAAAAGCTGTTCACTTTATCTATATCATTATGAAGGTGCTCACCAGCATATTTCTTCTATCTTTATATGTTGCTTTTCCTTCTTCCCCCCCGCTTTTAAATTAATCAATTTCCACATTTACCTATATCATTTTTTCTTGCATTTCACATACTTTCATGTATACACTGGTATTGCAACAAAAAACACTACGGTACTTACACAGCTCTTCCACCGTCTTTTACGTTAAATTATGATTCTTTCTGGCATTATCTATCTCTTGACTCTTCTTTGCCCTTTTTGTGTTACTTAACATACGACATTTCTTGATGCATGTGATCTCCGGATTATTTTCCTGCAGTTTTCATCCCAGCTGTCTCCCATTCTTTCTACTTATTTTCAAGTGTTTTTCTACAGTTCTCTATTCTCTTCTTAGAAATTTCCCTTTCAATAAACTCACCTTATAACCTCTGAGCAATCAATGGACATTGGTCTACTATCAATCTAATTGACAAAAATCTTACCTTGGTATGTATTCCCATAAATGCTTTTGAGTGGTCTTAAGAGGAAGACACAATGTTCTTTTTACATTCCTTGTACCTAAAGGCATGATTAAACCAACAGTATTCCTTTGTCTTTGTCAGTACCACATCTTTGAGCTCATCTTGGCAGATCTCTCTTTCCGAGGTCAGCCCTGCAGCCAGGGCCATGCTTGTAGCAGCACTTCTGAAGAGCTCTTCCAGATCATTTCAGAGCACATCTGTTGCTTCATTTCCCAAGCCTGCTATGGTCAAGGACACACTCATGACCTGTGTTCATAAGTAACAGATGTCTCTAACTACTATCAATAGCAGCTTTGGGCACTATAAAAGCTTGCTTTTAACTATTGCAGTGTTTCCTTTTTTTAAAAAAAAAAAAAAATCTTTAGCCTGAATAACCAAGATAAATAAATAAATAAATAAAATTAGTCTGCCAGAGCTCAATAAAATAAAATAAAGCTTCCTTGCTGTGCTTCCTTTGGTGTACCCTCTTGGGCCAGCTGCAGGTTTACAAGCTCAAGTGTCTGAAATTTCTCCTTTTCTAGAGAAAAGATTACTCATACCTATTATCATCATGTCCATTTTATGAAAAACAAAGGTTTTTAAAAGAGAAGAAAGTAACCTACACCAAATAGGTTATTCTAATGTATGCTCAAGAAGGTTTAGTGAAACACTTACAGTAAATAAAAATTTCTTCCTTTGCTAGTATTTTTTCCACTGTTGAAAAAAAATATACCTATCTCTGCTACCATTAAGGTAACTTCCACTCTTATTCTAGACAGACAACCATAGTTTGTTCTCCACATAAATTAATATTCCACAAAAGAGTTAATTATCTCTTTCCAATTTGTATGAAAATATCACATAAGAAATCATTACTAAAAATAATTAATATTAAAAAGGCACTAGAATTATAGATGGAACATTACAATATTCTTCCAAAGGGCACAGCTTTGTAATGTAAATATGCACTACAAGGGTATCATAATTACTCAATGATGGTATCTTAATTCATCATCAATAACATTTATCATTTAAAAGAAGTTGCAGGCACAATAACCATTATTATCACATCTGTAAATAAGAAGAATTTGACTGAGATGAATTAATTCTTTTAGACTGCATTTTAAGTCTATAGTATGTGTTCAATAATGTATGGATATATCTGGTGGCTAGGATTGTGCTATTTTTAATATTTCCCTGGTTGCTCAGGGAAGAAATGCTGTGGAAGAGAAGGCTCAAGCAAATAAACAAGCAAGAGGAGCTATAGAGGATTGAGAATATCTTACTCAGAAGAATGAAGTGTGCGTTACTGTCTGATGAATTTATCCAAATAAATAGTGAGACATTGAAGAATACTAACCATATTCATCAAGACCGGTGCTCAATAACATCCTTGTAATCAAGGGACCACCAAACTTTCCCGTAACAGGTTCTTCCACCTTGTGTCCTGCTAATGTTTGGTGGCTAGAAAGGGAGAATAAGACAACTCCAACATGCAAATTCTTGCTATTTTATATAAATGTCTCTCTCTTTTCTCTCTCTCTCTTTTTTTTTTTTAATGATTATAAGCAACTGGTTTCTAATTAGACACCACCAGCAGTAGAGAAGCTGGCCCCCAGCAAGACCTACCAGAAGTAAACACCAGTGACCACTGTGGAGTCCACCAGCCCAAAGTCAGAAGAACGCATCTGGCAATGACTTTGGCAAGCATATTCTGGTAGCTGTGGAAACCCACTCTGGGGGCCAGAGCACCACAAGCAGGGAAACACTGTGCTGGAATACATCATTCTTTATGATTCAACGTCATTCATGCCTATGGCTGCTTCAGGAGCCTTGCTTCAAGTTTGCACGTTTATTCCCCAGAACTCAGAAACACTTTCTCAACTCTCGAGAGATCAAATTAATTTTAATGTCAAGCTTTCCGATGTAGTAAGTAAAGGTATATTTCATCCCACCCACAGAGAAATAACATATGGCAGATAACGGGCTACACCAGTCCCACTGAAGATCTATTTCACATTTTAAATGGCAGGTAAGTGATACAGAAGCCTTATGATGGTACTCTGCAAATGTAACCTTTAGTGGTAATGATTTAAGTCCATATTCACATATGGTTTCATTTTTAAGAATAATTAGGTAGTCTATATCTCCATCTGGCTTGAAGTGATTGCTGACAAGTTTAAAACCAAATATTGTCAGCCTTCAAGCAAGATGAGATAAACAAATAAATAAAAAGGACAACCAAACAAAACTCTCACAGTCACTTATCAGATGTCAGATGATGTTTTAGACGCAGGATGACATTTTATGCAGAAGATGTGACCACTGCCAGGAGCAAACCTTTCTGTGGCTCTGATGCTTTAGCTTCCAACGCAAGTCCAAGAGCGAGTTCAACAGCCCTGTGTTCCCAGCCCTAGCAAACCCCCATGCGGATGCAAGAGCTACGATGGAGTCTTCTTCCACCTGCAAAGAGACCTTCCTCCTCTCTGGCTTATAACCCTTGTCAGCATCTTTGGGCTTTCATGTGATACACGCTACACAGCCCCTGGTGGGGCTTATTCAAGGACAACAACAAAGAAATAACAAAGAGTATGAAGAACAGCTAAACATCTTGAACTCATTTCAGAATGTAATAGTTCATTTACCAACCACAGTGGCAAAAGAAACGGAGAGGCGTAGAGTCAAGTAGCAACATTCACAGAAGAAAATCAGGCGAAAATTAACTAAAATATTCCCTATTTCTTCTCCAGCAGAAGATAGCTTGATAGCTCCTCTATACAGTAAACCACACATCTAGGTGGATGAGAGACCATTTCAAGGTGCAATAATTTATTACTTGAGCTGCATGACAGAGTAAAAGAGTGAAAATGTCATTCTGTTATGAGGCAGCCTGCACAGCATTTTTCCTTCAGAATGTCAGGTTGGGGTCTTAAGACTTCCCTTCATCCCATTATTTCCCCATTTGAAACAGTCCCTCTTTGACTTGATTTAGTGGGAAAATGAAGAACTGGTATGAAATTTAAAACACGTGTCATTTTTGTGGAAACACCCCTGTAGGTGAGTTAAAGATAGAAAGTGGTTGGCACAGAGGCCAAAACCAAACATATGACACTTCTCATTATCAACACAGACAGTTGCAGCAGCATGATAGTAAGAATAAGAAAGCATTAGAGGTTTGGTCTTGCACAAAAAGTGAAGCAGTTGGTTCCTTATACTCAAACACCAAGTTAACAATTTAAGAGTTGTAAAAACTATTGATGCAGAAAAAAGATTTATTCTATTTTTGCAACACAATAATTTATTAATCTCCATGTCAATAACACAATTTTAATCCCATTAAAGGCTGCTTTTTTGTACGTAAAGTACGCTTACAAATTCACAGAGAAGATTAATCTATTTCATTTGACAGTAGAGATTTCCCAGCTTTAGCTAAATCCACTTTGGAAGAAGACAGGGAAAAGGGTCTATGGAGGATAAACATTTGTTCCATTTTTATTTGGTTGTCTGGTTGGGTTAAGATTTCTGCACATTAATAGCTTGAGTATTAGTGCTCCAACTCTAATTAACATGTCCCAATTCTATAAACCCCGTTAAAGGATTTTTCCTGAAGTCACGAGTGAACTTTGGAGATGAAACAGGCAATCCTCACAAAAGGTCCAGGTAGCTTGGCCTACCACTTTCCTATTTCGCTATACTTCCTCTCCATTAGTCCAAACTACACAAGTGCTTATTAAGTCTGAGACATTAATAATAGCCAGTGTATATACATTTATATAGTTTCAGTGGAGTGAAAAAAGTTTCAAAAATAATGAGGAAGGGAAGGAATAATAAAAGGTAAAGACAAAACTTGGAAAGAGTTTTCTCCTACCACCTCTAGATAAAGATATCTCACCTTCCCTTCAGCATTGCATGCAGTGATTTTTCAACTGAAATTACACATTGCTTCATTGATAGGGCTTTCCACACAAATGAAAAAGGAAATGGTGTTTTACCTTCCTGAAATCAAGTTCAGTGGAGCTTTGGAACAACAACAACAAAAAAAGATTTTCTTTTATTCGTCTAAACTAAATACAATTTCCTTCAAAGATCTTCTGAAATTGGATTTTTAGTAAGTGAAAACAAAACTTTGTGAGCCAAATCTAAGTACAGGAAGACACATCAGGCTGTGAGCAATGCTGAGTTTAGACTGTTAATGTAATAAAAAATAGCAGTGTAAAAAAAAAAAAGACATTATCTTGAAGATTTGGCATCTTCAAGACTCCGAGAAATTTAAAACTTGCTCCTCTTTGCTCAAAACAAAGTTTAGCTAGTAAAAAGTTCTACAAAAGTAAAAATTTGGGAAAAGTATTTGCGGAGATGAAGGAAAAGGAGATAAGGATTTTATGCAAAGTGCATGGAAATATTTTGAAGCATTTTGTGTTTTTAAATGAAGAGTTCTTACATATGACTAAAGAATATAGGTCAAAACTACTAGTGAACAATGTGTATCCAACAAAATGTACAGCTCAGAAAAAAACCTGTATATGGAAGGGACATTTGAGTCATACTGGAAAATATCTGAATTTAGACTCCAGTAAAACAAGGTGAATAGCAGAACTATGAAATCAGTCGGTTCTTAAACAGGGGCATGTCAACATTAAGCAAGCAGATATTACCTCATCATTCGTGTTTTAATAAGAGCTGTGGGAATAGTGTGTCCAGTTCCATTACTGCTCCTGAGAAACTTCTAAACACGTTTAACACACTCAGGGAAGGTTATATTGGCCATATGGACTGGAAGCAATGGGAGGAGACCCAAACGACAGACAACAACAGGCCACCTAGACTACCTTACAGAGAAAGCACATTAAATGAACTGAGGGGGCTTCATCAAAGCGATAGTTAAAGGGATTTGATCAGGAACTTGAAGTTACTACATGCAGAAAGACATTATGGTGATGGGCAGCTCTTTAACTGAGTATGGACAGAGGGAACAGCCCTAGCACAGATAAACGGGAACTGACCAGAGGGCAGAAAGGTTTCCAAGAGAAAAACAAAACCGTGCTAGGTACCTTCTCTCTGGTAAGAAGTATTTGGTCCAGCCCTCCCAGCACATGGAGAGCAAGTGAGATACTTCAGAGCTACTCCTTGCTGAGTTTTCCTGAATGAGGGCAGCCCATCTGCCCTTCAGGGAAAACACCCCCATGACAGAGGTTATAGAGCAGGAGCCAGCCACCACATAGCATGTTTTCCACCACTGCTTTTCACCATCGAGCAGAAGGAAGCATTACCTTTAGGCAGTAGCTCAGTCCCTCATGGCTTTCCTCAGAGTTTATCATGTGTGCCACACAGAAAACATTATTTCCAGGTGTAGAGTTAAAGTGAACTTGCCCTTCCTTCAGTATCAGCTCACCCAGAGCAGTGTGTTATCTCCTCTGCAGATGCAGACTTTGGGCTCTCCGGTTCTCTAGGGAACTGCAGGCTCTATTAGTACTCTGCTGCTGCATTAAGGTTCTTCCCTGCATATGGGTCAGCACTTTGGCTCCTAGTATTAGAGTGCACCACGCACTAGGATGGGCTCATTGATTTCCCTTTTATTCCAGGAAAGAAAACTTCGGTCTTAATCAAGCAAGTAGTCCCATCCTTTCAGGTGGATGAATGAGAATCTCAGATCAAAAGAGTGCCTAGATTGGCTTTCTAAAGTCCATGTCCAAATCAATAATTTTTCAATTTTCCACTACAAAGGCTAGAGCACTTATTTTGGCAGCCATCACAGGGAATGCTTTTGACTGTGGCTTTTATCGTTTTGAAAAACATTCCTTGACAGAGATCACCATCCTTCAGCCCCAAACACGTCAGTGGTGGCCACAGCTAAATACATGGCCTGCTGGTCAACCAAGACGCTATACGAGTTGCTTAATCCGTCTTTGCCGATTTTTACTACACATTAAGATATGTTTCTGATCACATTTTACCTTGCAACACTCCTACTAGCATCTAAACCCCCAAACTGTTGAGCAGTTAATCCAATTACAGTTTCTTTTTCAAGTGTCTCACACTCCTTGTATTCTGACGCCTTCTAATTAATACTGAGCAAGTGCTTTGTTTACCCTTCTGGATTACAGCCTCCAGCAAGTCTCTCAAGTGCTTTTGTCACTGGCAATAAGCAAAATCCTCATGCCCCGTATTCTGGCATGATGCCTTGCCTTTTCTCAGGAATTCAGATCCTTTATAGTCAGCGTGCATTCATTTTGAGAAGTATTACAAGTTAACACGAGGTGTGAATGTTATCTATATAAGTTCATTACCATTCATCCCTATGAAATTTAGAGTCATGCAATTTTTTCTTTTCTTGTCTCCTACTCCTCAGGGCAGGGGAAGGATTTTTCTCTGCTCCTACTAACCTGCTTCATTCTATAATCCTTTCCTATTTAAAAACTGAGAAGGATTGAAGGGAGTCTGGTTTTCAGATTTCCCAGCTCTTG